GGAGGGGGCTCCATTCCTGGTGGGTGCCAGCGTGTCGTGCTCCCTCAGTGGGCCCTGTAGACTCAGTCCCAGCCAGGCTATGTGTCCTGTGTCCAGCCCAGCCTCCCTGATCTGGATGTTTGTGTTTTAGTTCCCAGAAGGCAGGATTCTGATGACCTCGCCAGTGACATTTTCAACTACGAAGGTATAACTTTTAAAAAATATTTATGGGAAAAAACATGTTTTCTTACTTCGTTGGGAATTGAGACACACTTGAGTATTTCCACTACAGAAGTTGTAGAGGAGAGCTTCCTGACCTTTCCCAGGTGGTAGAACCCACAAGGATGCCCCAGGCCTGCAGGAAGTGGGTGTGCCACAGCATGTAGGCGGGAGCTTGACTTTAGAGAGGCGATATGGCGTGAAGTTCTGCCTCTCACCACCCGCATGGCTGTGGGCAGATCACTGTAGCTCTGCCTCTGAGTCCCTTACGACAGATCTCTTTGAGACCAAGAACAGTGCCCGACTTAGAGTGATCTCTATAGCAACAGAGTCCGGCTGTAAAGAGAAAGATATTTGAAAACATGGAGGAGTGTCAGTTGGGCCAGACTGGCCACGTCTGTAATTTATAAGTTCCTTTAGCAGAGAGTTGTTTCTCTGTTGGCAGCAGTGTGACTGCTCTGGAGCATTCCAGCTTTGTTTCATGCCTGGGCCCTGCTAATCTGTACTCCTTGGGTTGTGTCACTCTCAGAATACTGCACTGCCAAAGCAGTCACTGGGCCTTGCCGTGCGTCCTTCCCACGCTGGTACTTTGATGTGGAGAAGAACTCTTGTGACAACTTCATCTACGGAGGGTGCCGGGGCAATAAAAACAGCTATCTCTCCAAGGAGGAGTGCATGCACCACTGCTTTGGTGAGCCTGGCTGAGTCCTAAAGCCAAGAAACGGTGGGTGGATGAGGCCACTGGTCCATTTCCCCATCCCTAAAAGGAAGGCCTTGGAAATGCTGTCCATTGGACTCTGCCATTCTCTGGCGCACTTGTGGGGAACAGGTGGGCTTTGGGCCCGGCTGTTGCACAGACATGTCCTAAGCCCCCACCAGGGTGGCAAGGCCCTCAAAAGAGCTGGAAGAAACCCCTCAGAAAGAGCCTCCTGGGCACACCTAGTTGCTGGCAGCTCTGGTGGGGAGGGCTGTGAGCTGACCTGAGGGTTGTGTATTCTCTTCTAGGCAAGCAGTTGTATCCTGTCCTACCCCATGGCACTAAAGGTAAGAAGCCTTTGGCCCTCCTCCACCTGCTTTCCCTGACCAAGCTCAGCTGTATTTTGCAGGCTCTTGTTGTCCTCACACATAATCCTTCACTGTAAACACCTTTTTTGGTTGAGAGTCATGTTTCTGCACGAGAATGGTCAGGCAGCTTGGAACATATGGTGGATGTTTGTCCCACTATGCAGTGTAATAAGTGGGGGCTGAAGGGAGGCGGTCTCCGCCCAAGCAGCCCCAGGGTGACTGGAGGACAAGTCCTACTATTATTGTAAGTAAGACTTGTGAGGTCTGCTGCACATGGGCCTGAGACTGGCTCCAGGTTTGGAGGGAACTTTGCCGCTGTGGGGTGTACTGAGCTGGTCCCTGGTGACAGGAAGCCGCAGAGCCCTTGCTGTGTGTGGGCAGAGCGAGGTAGGGCCAATGCTGTTGTCCCCAAGCAGTCTGGTCTGACAAGACACCTGGCCTCCTCTCACTTTTGTTTCTGATTGTGAGCTTGAGTCACGGATGGTAGTGTTTGCACAAAGGACCTGCTACACTGGTTTGACCTCTTTCCACCTATTTCCCTGTTAAGGAGCCCTGACCTGGCCTGCATGTCTGCTGTTTTAGAGGAGGAGCGAAGCTAGAATCTGGTTTGCCAGGCGCGGGGATGCAGAAAACAGCCCGGGTTTGGAAGGTTGGGGGTAGAGAAAGAATTGCCCCTGTCAGTTCTGTAGCCAGAAGGGGAGAGGGAGCCAGGGAGCTGTCACAGAAGGCCACATCCTTTAGGTGGGGCCCCACCTGAAAAAAAGCATCTTCGATGACCAGTGAGACTGCAGTGGAGCAACCACTGTTAAATTTACCTGGGCAATTAGCACGAGGGTCCCCTCCCGGCCCCGCTCCGAATACGCCCTTGCCTCCACCCTTACTTCATTCCATAGGCAACCAGCCACCCCAGCCACCTGCAGGGCCACATCTTTCTCCAGCTGGTCAGTGTGCCGTGTGAACACAAAACCTTGGGGTTTTATGTTCACACACTTGCCAGAGGTGTGTGATTTTTACATCATGGTACACAGTTTTTGGCTTGGGACTCCTGTATGGGTTGCCCTGAGAGGTGGTAGGAAAATACAGAGTTGAAGTGGGGTTTCCTTGTTCAGAGAGAGCACAAATACCCACTCTGTGTGCACATAGCACGACGCTTCCTTTTTTCAGTAACCTGCTTCTCCAGACTCTAGAGATTCCTTGAGGACTCCCCTGGCGGGCAGTGCCAATTGTCCACACCCTCCCAGGTGGGAGTCACAGGGGGCCTGGCAGAAGGGCTGCCAGTCCTTACCCTTCGTGAACTGTGTGCTGCCCTGCTCTGGCTGTGGTCCTTCTCATCCTGCCGGTTCTGAGGCCTTTTTCTCCTCCCCAGTGGTGGTCCTGGTGGGGCTGTTTGTGATGGTCCTGATTGTCCTGCTGGGGGCCTCCGTGGTCTGCCTGATCCGGGTGGCACGGAGGAACCAGGAGCGCACCCTCCGCACCGTCTGGAGCTCTGGGGACGACAAGGAGCAGCTGGTGAAGAACACCTACGTCCTGTGAATGCCCTGCCAGCAAGAAGCCGCCCTTCCTCGGGTGTCCCTGTTGATGAAGAGAACCTGGGAAGGGAGGGGAGACAAGTGCAGAATGTGTGTGTGCTTTTTAAAGTAGAGTGATTGGTTTGTATTTGTGCGATCATTAGGGCTTCGGGTCTGTTTATTTCTCCAGAAGGTAAGAGGGCTGCTTCCTGGTCTCCCGGCTGGGCCTGCTTCGAAAACCCTCTCAGAGGTGGGTTCTGTCTCACGTTGCAAGTGGTCTGGCCCCAAATCAGAGTCGGCTGCTCTTCAGTTTAGTTCTTTGCCCCAGGTATTAGTTTTCTTTGCTTACCTTGAATCCTGTAGTGTCTTTTCCCATCACAGAAATAATGTTTTAATAGTTTTCTTTGTTTTTTGATTTGTGTGTGTGTGTGTGTGTTTTTTAAGTAAGCAGTAACAAATGTTTTTTTTATTAGGCTTCTGAAAGGAAGAGAATAAAATGTACAAGCTTAATAAAAAGGGCCTTCCCTTAAATTTCAGCAAGTGTTTTTTTTCTTTATGGGACTGCTGATTTAAACTCTACCAAAATTAACACAGAATACTATGTAAGATGTTCCATTCTAGAAATGAACTCCTTAAAAAAAAATTTCATCTTTCAGATCTTTCTGAATGAAATGCATCTTACATTGCAACTGAATGCCTATAAAATTTGACCAAACAGGGGCACCTGGGTGGCCCAGTCAGCTAAGCGTCTGACTTTGGCTCAGGTCATGATCTTATGGTTTGTGG